CATTTTCGTACCTAACCTGACAGATTCCAATCGACGCTGTGACTAAACAATAGCATTAATCCTAATACTTTCAACTGTTTTGAGCATTGAGTTAAAACAACACTAGAGAAGCAAACCTCATTATCACACGTCGAAAAAAGTGTAACCACTTTTGAACTTTGACGACGTAGCTTTGATACCACTAAACATTTGAAAGTAAACATATTTATGTCTCATTTACACGCGAGACAAGAACAATACCATCGCTCGGATTAGACAAAGACAAAGATATAACTTTACGATGGTGGGCCAGTGTTGACTACCGTATGAAATTTTACCCATAACAACTAAGAAACAATTTTTTTTTAAACAATTTTGTAATAAAATAAATGAATTTAAATATTCTAAATAATATATTTCGAATTGAATAGAATAGGTATAAATAATAAAATAACTGGAAATATTTGGTTAAAAGGGTTTATATTCAGTGTAAAATCAAACTGCGCTGTGAAGCATCAGTTTTGTTTTATTATCTTGTTTTTAATTATATTCTTGTTAATTGTCTTTTAGACTCTTTTTTTATAAGCTTGTGTGGATATTTTACTTTCATGATACAATCTTATTTTTACGTATGTAAAAATAATAGCATTTAATAATAAAAGTGAATGATCAACTTGTACTGATAATTAATAATCCCCAGGGTGTATTGCAAATTCTATTATAATTTAAAAAACAAATCAAAAAAAAAAAAAAATATTGTTATTTTATAAAAAAAACTATTTATGTTTATTTACTTTTTTTTATTTTATATTTTTATTTTTATGATAAACATTTATTATTATTATTATTTTGTACAATTATTATTTAAAATTGATAATAAATTAAGAAAAAAAAAAATTAATTTTTTTGTACAAAAGTCTCCAGCACTGCGAGCTTGGAACGTTCAACGGGTCCCTAAAAAAAGGGATCGGTCCAGCCCTAACAACTACCGTTCTTCCTATATTTTATTATTATTGGCAAAATGTTTAAAAACAGTATAAAGCATATTATTTCATAAATTATAAATTCTCCCACTAATGTGGGAAAACCAAAATGATTGTTTAATGGTAACACTGATTCTAAATTACAATTATCAGTGTTTTCTTTCAATTATAGCCTTATTTACGATATTATCAATACAAAAACCATAAACTTACACGTGAAAAGTAATTCCGCATGATTTATTAATGTTTTGTGACCTTGAATCGCATTCTTTCACTACGCATTTAGCCATTTTGGCGATTGTTACTGTCATGTGTCGCTATGTTCAACTCGGTTGACGCCACATTGAATAATGAATTGACGTTTGCTACGCATATGCCTGTGGACATATGTGCAGTAGCAACGATTTTAGGCGGTAATTACTCATCTATGTAAGTATTATATCAATGGTTTTGAGATTCAAAATTCAAACACATTCGAATATAGAACAGTTCCAAATTCAAAATTACAGTGAAATATGGAAACGACAGAACTTAAAAGGCATGCCTAGTACATAACAGTTAATCATAGATATTCCCCGTGATGATATGCAGATCATCATCATAATCATCAACCTCCTTTAATAGTCAACTGCTGGACGTTGACCTGTCCTTAGGACGGAGGTTTTGGGCTACTATTACCACGCTAACGGTTGTTATAGAGTTTGATTCAAGTTTTCCTTCTCTTTGCAGTGCTATTTCCTCCATAGTTTGCTTACTTAGTCGGCTCTTATGACACCTGTGGTATAAATAGGGGTAGAAACAAATATAATACTGCTCTAGTATTGTAACCTAACTATCGTCTATTTAGAAGAAGTGTGAAGAAACTTGCCCAGTATATGACATTATGAATGGTGCAGCAATATTGTATTCAGAGGACTTTAATGCCCTTTGAGACCTTCGATAAATCTATTCTGAGCTGAGGCTTTTCTGATGAGAGACAGGATCTTAGGTCTTATGACATCTACTTTTTGCCCATAGAATCATCCACGACGATTTAATTCTTGGCTGAGAGATTCTCAAAAAATTAAATGGTCGAGGAGGGTCTTTCAAGGCATTCGTCTGGACGAGTGCCTCGAAAGAGATAAATATATCGCAAACTGCTCTATCATCTTTTATTTTCATTTCTTTCTAGTCGGGACTAAGGACAAAATTCAATTGTATTACATACTTAAAATCGTAAGAACAATAATTATGTACAATACAATGAACGATCTGGTGTATCACATGAGAGGGGTGATAGTACTTATCTCTCTACTCTTCGACAGTATCCCCACCTGTCACGCGAGAGACCAGGGGGACTTAAAATAGAATTTTTAACCATATATTAAAATATTACCTTAAAAAGTCATATGTCTTGCTACAAAAGTTTGTAACAGAAACGAATCGCTGCAAAACCGACTCACGTAGTCTTGTCTGCCCTACCCCTAGAGTGTAATTTAAGCTAGCGGAGGGGCGGAGGGGCGAGGCGGCCCGCGAGCTGAGGAGGAGATGGTTTCAGCGCTCGCCGCCGTGGCTGAAGCAAACCGAAGCTGCGATGCTGAGCGTTGAATTCATCTGCGACGATAAGCTCACGTGGGACCGCCGGAGCCCCGCAGCGCCAGAATCGTGGCAGATATGCTGCATGCTGCATTTTTACATGCATGCTGCATGGCTTTATTATTTTGGTAAGAAATACAATAGGAAATGTATGCCAAACGATGATTCTCACTGTAAACTGCCTCAGATATGATAGTTCTTTCTTTTTAATGACTATCGATATGTAATTTATGCTCAAAGACGATTCTGACTATGAACTTTCGGCGATATGATGGTTCTACTTTTTAATTATAATGGATATGAAGTTTATGCCTAAAGATGATTATGACTTACAAAATTATGCGTTTTGAATGTATAATAAATGAGTGTCTGCCAAACGATTTTATGCGTAATGAAGTTTATGCTATCCGTTGTTATGCTAAATTATATTACCTAGTACATAAAAAGTTCTGCTATAAAGGGTAGACCCTGAAAATAGAGGTCGCTGGCGTACGAAAAACTACGATATGAACATAGCTGTTGTAGACGAAGTGAAGTGTGCTGAGTTAAAATATTATAATACTTTTACTGTCTGAAAGTTATTACACGTTTATTTATTGGCTGTAAAACTCATTGACTATTTTCGCAGTCTAATTATAATTTAAGCCAATATAAATTAATCTTAGGTTACCGCAGCGCCACCCTTATTGGTCGCGTTTTTATGGACTCTTTTCATAAACAGAGATTGTTCTGTCTCTCGCTCTCTCTCTCTAACCTCCATAGATTCGCTAAGGGAACCTTTTTGACTTCTGTTTTTTTTTATTGTCTATGGATATTTTTAACAAAAATGAAAACAAGTATTTAGTAGCTTAAAAGTATTTATTGTTGTGTAACTTCGTCGTTGTAAACTGGTATCTAAAGGTTGATATAATATTTAAAATATTTATATAATATTTTCGGACATTAACAAACAACACCATTTTTTTTTAATGTAAAACATTCACACAACGCCATCTAGTCCCAAACTAAGCATGCACACAAATGTTTGACTTGAGCAGGAATCGAATCCGCGACCTTTGGAATAGCAGTCCGTTACACAAACCACGCAGAGCTCGTAATATGAAAGCGAGATTAACTGATAGAATACTGATATACTTTTTTTTGTAAATACAAATTTTATACATAGAAAACCCCAAACTCCGAAACAAATATTTGTAGATCATACAAACATTTGGTCGAGTCGCATACGTTACCGCAGCACCATTCAGACAACTACATTTTTACTTATAGTAAAATAAAAATAACTATACAATATTTAGCAGATCCGTGAAACTAATATTTCGATTCAGCAATCAGAAGGCCGATTGTCGTAATAAAAGTTCGGTAATCAGCTAGGTTTGGTATTACTAGTTCACTACAAAATACATTTTATAACAGTTGTGAGATCAAAAGTTGATTGGAATCGAGACCGAACTTTTACTACGAGAATTGGCCTTCTGTTTTCAAACTATTAAGATTTATTTTGCAAATTTGTTTTTTTCTTAATCGTTTATTGAAAAATGTGTGATTACTACTTACCTTTTTTGAAAGTAGTCAATTCGCGTGCAAATAAAATTCAACTGACCAAATCGACATCTCAAAAATAAAACGGCGTCAGGACGAAGTTCCTTTCGCTTTTTGATAGACGTTTGCTACATATATACCTTTATATGAAATATGAAAAATATGTAAGCGTCGACGCGCCAACTGAAGTGTCGCTCTCATCTGCACTTTGTATAATTGACGATTGACGAACTGATTAACTCATTATTTTTATTAGCACTCGTGTAGTTAATGTTTTTAGATAAGATTGATAAAAATACTATCACCGTGGTTACAACAATATGTACCTACCAGTGTTCTTTGAAACTCCTTTATCTAAGCTAAATGGTTATGTGATATGGATTGGGTAAGTTTGGTTCTCTGCGATAATGAACCATCAAAATCGAAAATAGTATAGGCTGCCAAAAAGAGGTCAAATGAATGAAATAATACGAAAAATATAATGGAACGCGCCCTTTGCTTATATTTATTTTTGCGAGGCTGGCAATACTCACAGTGACGCATTGGATATCTAATGATAATGTGACAGGGAGGCAAGTTAGGTCAAACGTATAAGAGTGAAAGAGAAGAAACATTATTTCAGTCACGTGGAAAGGCCCGTATGGTTAGTATAATGGCACTCATTGTACTTGCTTTAAAGTTCTGTTTTGCTTACACAGTTTAATTAACACGAGTTCGGTTTCGACTCGGCTGATAGCGTCATACTACATCGAATGAAGGTCGGTCCGCAGCTCGATGTTTCATTCGATCGCCATTTTGAAGAAGTGTTCGAGCTCGTAACTCGTGATTCTTTTGATTCGATACACGGGTATTATCGTTGTCGATGTTATAATCATCTGATTTTCGGCGGCAAATTGACTATCAATTAAGTGTAGATACAAAATGAAGAGATGTTCATCTGTGGTGTGGAGGTTTTTTGAGCGTATTATTGAAAATAAGAGATGCGTTGCTGTGTTGTGCAAATTATGTGAACTGCAATACAAATTCTTTGGAAATACAACAAATCTACGATCCCATTTGATAAACAAGCATCCGATACAATGGGAGCTGTCTCAGAGCGGTACTTTAGATGATTCACATTTCCGAATTGTAGATGAAGAATCTAATACACCTACACCCACGCCTAAGAGAAAGAAGTATGCGACGAGGGGCCACAAAGATAAAAACGTACGTTATTCAGTATCAGTAAATAACGAAGAAACAACCGGATCAGGCTCTATGCCTCAGATTGAAATACAACGGGTACCTACCTATAATAATAATTGATATTTAGGCTGTAATTTTCTTATCAGTTGTCACTTAAATCAAATTCACTGTCTCATTGCGTTGTTGTGGTCGAGACACTACTTTGATATCATACGATATTATCATCTTATCGATTCGTAAAAATCAATCGATAATGTAATCAATGAATTGGATTGATTTGAAAATCGATTTCAGTGTTTTTTTCTTTATATGTTTTGCTGTTTGAATGTTGTTTCGGTTTGTAAAGAATTGCGATACTTGTTATTATATTATAATACATAGAAATGAATGAGTAACCTGCATTTTAATGGTTGGTTAGGTTTTGTAGCTTTCGATGTTTGATACAAAACATTTGTAGGTTATGTTGTTAATGTACACTTCTTTCAGATGTTTACCAAACACTATAAGTACATAACCAATAAAAAATCACTGATAAACAATATCTAAGTTTCCACCAATCCGTGAAAAGCACGACATCATTTATTAGCCTTTTATTGGCTGTGTGCATTGACAGTAATGTTTAATTAAATGTTTTGTAGGTATTTATTGTTTTGAATTGTGATTTTAACCACATTTATAACTTTCAGGTTGATGTGTTAGAGAACACAGATTCAGACAATGCTGATGAAGGCAATGATGCTACAATAAACTTAGTGAGACAGATGCATGCAGAAAACCACACAGACGAGGAATGGTTAGAGGATGACCCCTACCAAATCACACACATAGAAACATATGAACCGACTAAAAAGAAAATGAAATATAGCAAAATAAAACGGGAAGTTGCATCTCCTACAGGCCTACCTGGCTTCTATGTTGCACCTAAGGCTAGTAAAACGTTCATATATGATGATACAAAGAAGGATGAATATTCCGTGTTCGGTCAGTATGTTGCTAATAAATTAAGAAAATTTAATTCACCACGTACTCGGGGAAATCTACAACAACTAATCACAACTATTTTATGGCAAGCGGAGTATGGTTTATATGACAATGCTGATGCTGTCAAACGGGTACTGATGTATTCAATCGAGTCACCAGAACCTGAACCATCAGTAAGGGTAGAATATGAACAACCATTACAGACCATACAGACAGAGGAAGTCATAGAGCATAAACCTGCAAACCAAAGTAATGAAAGTGATTTGGGAGTTTGATTTAGAATATTATAGTTACTATTTTAGGTTAAAAATGATTAATTAATATGAAAATAAAAAACATTTATTTTAATTCAGTGTTCTTAATTAACTTAACTTTAAAGCAATAAATTTTGTTCTCTTTAATATTAAACATAATACTTTAGAATGCTTAGAGTATTATGATCTAATGAATCAAAGCCCATTGTGTTGTTTGTATACAGCTAGTTTTAGTTCAATGCTGTCTTCACCCGACAGATCTTTTTTACTAAAGAATACAATGATCCACTGAGGCCTAGGTAACATTAACTGTAATTCAAGCCTGCGGTTCATCAACCTGCTGTTGCTAAAAATTTTTTTACAGGCTTTCTTTCAGCTTGACCAAAGCGAGGGCTGTTCGATATTCACCACCATATTTTCTGTCTTGCACACTAGTCTTGAGATATATGTGAGTAAAAAAACTAGTGGGATTTGAAACAACTTTATTGATCTTAAGAAAACAATAACTCCATACTAAATAATTTCATGCGCCTGTTAACTGCTAAGCCTAAAATAGATAGTTGTGTGATAAGCATGATCTGTTCTGTGTGTGCATAATTCAAATCTTCATATATATAATTCTTCTGTATGTGTGTTTGTAAACTAACTCCTAATCAGCTGGACCGATTTAGATGAAATTTGGTGTATATATTTCAATGGGTACCTGGGTGGTTTGAAAACACAATTGGACCCGGTAGGTAGTGCTGCTGTCAGTATGTCACCAAATTCAATCATTCTAAAGCAGTACAAAGTACGCCAGGTCAGTTAATGTAACATGTATTTATTACTAAAAATATACCTAAGTGTTTATCAGCAGTCTAGTTACCATAGTACATAGGCTCTGGATAGTTTGGGATCAGACATTGATTATATTATCTTACTCACTTGAGAAATATTTTTAAAGAAAAAATAAAAGTATTATTTACAATTTTAACAATTATTCACTAAAAATACAGAGGTTCTAAAACATTTGAATTTAAGTACCATGGGATGCTTAAAAAGCTAAAATCCCATTATTAGGTGAGAAAAATGTTACTATTGTACTTCTGTTAATAGAAGTGGTTTTTTTTTAAAGAAACTAATCTCAGGAATCTCAGGACCCGCGCAACTTCGTCTGCGTCTCTCAATAGTAATAAATTTTCTCCGTTTTTGAAACATTCTTCATTGGTGCTCCGCTCCAATTGCTCTTAGCGTGATGATATATAGCCTATAGCCTTCCTCGATAAATGGGCTATCTAACACTGAAAGAATTTTTCAAATCGGACCAGTAGTAGGACCTGAGATTAGCGCGTTCAAACAAACAAACAAACTCTTCAGCTTTATAATATTAGAAATAAAGATAGTTTGTGTTTAAAATAATTGTGTAATGGTCTGGGTGTAATTAATCCATATTTATGTATGTATTTAGAAGTACCTATGTTTATGATGATGATGATGTTTATCAGCAGCGTGTATACTATGTCACAGGATATATATTTTAGGATCAGAAGACCATCTCAAGTCCCACTTACACTTGTCACGTTATTATGCTACGTGACCCATTTATGTATCTCCGCTCCCCATCTAGTTTTCACGTAGTCATTAATAATATTTTTTTGCAGACAGTAAAAAAAAAGTTAGACAAAAATAAGCTACCGGCAAGTTTAAAAAGTGCTAAACGCTGCGCGCCATATTCGAATCTTCTTCTTCTTAGCGTGTCGATGACAATTCAAATTGAGTCGGCCCAAAATTTGGCGACGAGTTCGGCACTTTCAGTAGCCTCCATCAGTTCCTGTGATGTGCAAGTAACAGGACAGGCTGGACACGATATCAAGTGCCCCATAGTTTGTGGGGCAAGACCACATTTACACTCCAGGGCAGAGTCATCTATGAATCCCCACCTGAACAGGTTTTCTTTGCTTCGGCCTACCTGTTTCCGGAGTCTGTTTAGAGACTTCCAGGTCAGCCATGGCAACTCGTGTCCAGGCGGAAGATTTTCGGCAAGTGGCACAAATGGGTTGGGTAAGGAAACGCTATCTTGCCACAACTTAAGTCTTTCCCTAGAGCGTTCACCAGTGAGCGGGGGTACACACTTTAAAAAGCTGTTGCGGCTTTTCAGCCTTTGCGGTACTATGATTTTATTGTGTAGAGGGTGTCTAGCGTCGGAGACCATTTTGGCTCTTTCACTAGAGCTCGCCACCGCTCTGCGAACCACTGGTGGCGCTATGCCTGCCAGTGGATACAGCATCTGTACCGGGGTCGGCTTGAGGCAGCCAGTGATTATCCGGCACGTTTCATTCAGTGCTGTATCCACTAACTTTGCATGGGCTGAACGACCCCACACGGGGCACGCGAATTCACCCGCAGAGAAGGATAGCGCCAACCCAGTAGTCCGCATGACGTCAGGCGAAGAACCCCACTTTGAAGAGACTAGTCGCCGCAAAAGACCATTGCGAGAGTGTACCTTCTGCTTAATGTTATTGCAGTTCTTGCCGAATGTTAGAGACCTGTCCAGAGTAACACCCAGATATTTTGGAAAGTTGCTGTGCTCTATGGATACCCCACCCCAAACGATGTTAAGTTTGCGGCTCGCCTCTCTGTTGCGAAGATGGAATATGCACGACTGCGTTTTGCTCGGATTGGGCTTGAGTGAGTTAGCGTGGTAGTAAGTGGCTAGGTCACCAAGAGCGTTTGACAAAGACACCTCAACCTCTTCAAAGGTGGTGGCTTGGCAGGTAAGGGCAAGGTCGTCTGCATAGAGGAAGCGGGAGGTATGCGGGCTGGATGGTTGGTCATTGGTATAGATATTAAATAAAAGCGGTGCCAAGACACTACCTTGAGGTAGGCCGTTTTTCTGTGCTCTCCAACGACTTTTTTCCGAGAGAAGGTGGACTTGAAATCGGCGGTTGTGGAGAAGTTCTCGGAGTATGCGGATGAAATTTGATCGTTGACCAAGGTTTCCACCTTCCACAACAGCCTCTTGAGGTTGACTGTATCGTAGGCAGCTGATAGGTCCACGAATACAGCACCAGTGACCATTCCTCTTATATTCGAATAAGTATACCTTAAAAAGGACGATATTTTCCTAGAGGATATTTATTGACTAAAACTTAAGCCCTCCCATCCCCTGTGCTCAAGCTTGGTAGGTATTTTGAAGTTTCATGACTATAATGATAACCGTGATTACATCGATAAATAAAAACAGCACAGGTACAATACAAATACCCTCCCAAATAAAAACAAAACACAAAATGACAGAGTTCTGAGGTTAAAAAAATAAAAGAAATACAACCCAGTTGAGAATCTTCGTTTTTTTGCAGTCATTTTTTTTTTTAGAAAGTAATTATGTTCAGTAACAATCACGAAGTTTTGACTCCATGATCTTAGACCAACAATGCGATACGTGATAACTCTTTGGGAACTGTCGTAAATTTTACCGGAATGCATATTCATAACTAAATACACTTATACCGTATTAAATTAAAATTCAGCACTAACTGTAGTGGAATTGATAAAATAATGTGAGATTTATATTCAAGCCGTGACGTCAACGCATGCTCTGTTACTCATGCGGTAGCCGAGCAACCATTGTTTTTACACGCTGTTTTATATTAGCTTCACTTGTATGTTTGTTTGTATGTTTGTAACCGACGCCTTTGGGCGTGATTTTGACTGACTTTGAACGGTCAGAATTCGTTCAAACTTTGTAGATATATCGAGGACCGATGACAATACATTAATTTTTAAAAAAATATCAAAAAAAATAGAACCAAACTAAAAAATAGAAAATAAATTTTAATAAACGCTTTTTTTTCAAATTTATTAAAATTTATTTTCTATTTTTTTTTTAGTTGATTACACTTTACAGTGGTGGTTTTTTGTTACGAAACCCCATATACGAACTTATTCAGTGGTAATGTATCTCTTCTTAATATTTGCAGCAATAATAAACGAAGTGTCATTGGGAATTTACCTACAATGTGGCTTTGCAAGTCACATCGAGTACCCACATTGCTAGTTCTTTATGAATCGAGTATGTGGGTACTATCAGCTTTGACTAGTTCAAAAAGGACTAAAAAACAGATCATAAAAAAGTCTTAAGAGTACTTTGAGCATGTTGCCGTAACGCAATTTTGCCGTGACGTTGTGTTGTCTCCGGGCCAATAAGACATCAAGCTATAAAAATAAAATTACTTGCCGTGACTGATTTATTAGCGCAGAACCTACCGCCGGAGCCGCTAAACCGCTGGAGCTACAAACTTGACATTTTGGCAGCTGACGCTTTTATGTTATAGCCCCACTAACAAAGGATTTTTGAAAATTTTACCCCTAAGGTGGTAAAATAAGGGATGAATGGTATGGAAGTTCGTCGTTTTCGAAATCTTTGGTGTGCCTGCAAGTTGATTAGGCTGTATAAGTATTTTATTTATTTAGTTCAGTCATATGAAAAACCAACAGCAACATAAATGATAATGGTCAGATTCATATACTACATTAAGCCAATTACAGATTTTCACGAATAACATTTGATAGAACAGAGTCTGTTGGGGCCATAGAGATATAAGCATAGAGTCAACAAGAACCCCAATCTTGCAAATTAGGCATCGGGGTAGATGGATATTAGATCGTTCCCTCTATCTGTTTCTAGTCTAGCTCTGTGGTTGGCTGGGGAAATTTCTAATCTCTCGCCGGTTCTACGATAAAACCCCACTTCATGATAGTCAATCGCAGCTTAGCTAAATAGAGACAGAGGGAAATATCGGGCATCTATCTCTCTCGTTGCCTGTATCGCTTTCACTTACAGCTAGCTGTACCCCTTGTTCTCCCTATGGTTGGGTCAACTAGTGTAGAATAATGTAATTAGTACTTTAAATCGTGGAAGATTTTTGATAAACTAATAATTATCATAAAACTAATATTCTATAAGCCCAACAAAAGCTTGATGACGCTTCTGAAAATATAATAATGTATGTCAAATTTCTTAAACGTAAAGACTCACTACA